GCAGATAGCGCGCGAGATGTTATTCGTAATTCGACAGCATACGACGTACGAAGGTGCAAATCGCATTCCTTGTTCACGATATCATAATGGCTCCGTAGTTGAGAGCCGGTACTCCACTACAAAAGGCACACATGCTACAGCGCCTATTCCCTTAAGGCCATGTAATGGGTGCCTAGCGAATTCGAACAGGTTTCATGCACTGTTTGAAGTACTCACTACGAACAGGGCGCCACTATCGAGTTTATCTCCTAAAGCCGAAGCCTTAGGATCTCCTAAGTTTTACGTCAACGCTTGACAAATTGCAATGACCCCATTCTGCGTTTTCTGCCGTTTTAGTGTTAGGTGATTTTTCGTAACGTATACCACATTGGGGTGTTAAATGTAAACAAAACTTGGAACAGGTGTGTGCTTGCTTTGAACTACCTAGTAAATTTAACACGCAGGCAAAAAAACAAACAAGACAGAACGAAACAAAGTACTCAAAAGACAAGAACGAATGCGACGTGGGTTTGCTCGTGAGAGGCCATACATGTCAGACATCGTATGAATATTGTAGGTAATGTTCCAGTGCTCAGGGTTATGCGAACGAAGATGGATATATGACGAAATGATGCAAGCAAAAAATTTCCGAAGCACGCAGTGGATTTTGCGGAGCATGCATTTACGATGATGCACTTGAGTTATACGAAAGCGCCTTTGTATATACTGGAAAAATGGCCGCAAACGCAACGAAAATAAAAAAAAACACAAAAACAAACACACTATGTCCCAGTAATAACACTGCTTCGTTTTATTCTCTTGTGGTTTTCGTAAGCTTCATAATGTACTACTGAGCAGTATTGGAGTCTTTATGACATTCAAGGCAATGCATGCACCCGATTGGTCAACTTTTCGTGGAGGATAGAATTGGCTACGAAGAAGTAGAGAAGGGAAAGAGACAGTTTTGCGTGTAATGTTACGAATTCGGGAGTCCCCGCTCACCTTGCCTATGGCACTTGCCCGACATCGATGCCTTTGTAACAACGAGGGTATACGCGTGCACAAGCGATTGCGAAAGTCTTCTATGGTATACAACCGTTTATCTAAATATGACGGGAGCCAGTCGTCGATACTGGACGTAATGAATAGCACACAGGCTGTTACCAACGAAAGCACCGCAGTATTCGAGGCACTATAAAGGAATGGTTCATAAATCTTCCTGCGTGCGTAATACGTAATACAAACAACTTTGAAGCACTCGTCGTTCGATCTCCCGCCACCCATTCGTAGCGTATGTCATGATTTATGGACCACAAGAGTGTCCATATGGCGAATCGTAATTGAGGTCGTACACTAGAAGCTTTTCCAATATGCGCACGAACCTCCTGTAAATGAGGAGAGGTACGGCGCAGTGGTCCGTAGCCAACAGGGTTGCATTAGGAGGCTTGTCGAAAACATGTAATGAAAATGAAGGTCTTCAACAAGTGCCTCCCCGCCACCATGATGAAAAAAGTGGGCTACTGGCCTCATGGAGCGAACCGCAACAATGTAATGGGAAATGACAAGGACAAGCGCTTCTCTTCGTCGTCTCTTTTCCTTTATTTCCTTTTCACGCTGCCGCACTTTTCGATCAATTTTCTGCCATATAACAATTATGGAGGTTTCACGTTTCAAGTCCCGATACGACTATATCTTAAGCGGCAGCGGGACTTATAGCATCTTACCTCCATTTAAACGAAACGCCGCGACAGGTATTCTTTGCGACGACCTTTGAATCGCTTGTCACATAAGAGGTGGCATTTCGGCGAGGCCTAATGCAATAACGGTCGTGCACTCACATTGAAATGCACGTTAAGGAAACGCAAGGCTTCAATATCAAGCCGTGAGCGTCTCACTACGGCATGTCTAATAAACGTGTCGCCCTTTTTGGCACGCCAATCCTTGGAAGTTGTTATTGACACTATTACCCTTCGTCAAGTAAATAATATCGACGGGCACAAGCCGCAGTCCTCCCTCAATTAATTTACTCACTTGGTGCCTCGATAAGGCGGCACTTGCTTTCAGCAAACGCGTCGCGAATAAGCTGCCAGCTACCTAATCTTCAAATTTCTTTGGGCTTAAAGGGCAATTAGCGGTCAGCGGGTCTACTTTGCTAATGATATGTTCAGATTTACAATTCGCTGTAGCTATCTCTCAATTAAAAATGTTTGAAGCTTCATTGAGCTTTTTATAAATGTGGTGTGTATTGCGTATCGCTGATTCTTAAAAAGAGAGGAAAGAAGATAAAAGTGAGCCCCGTAACTGTCTGCATAGTGTGACACCTCAACAGTAGCTCACAAAGAAATGGGGATAAGGAAAGATTGAAAGAAATTGGGAGGATTGATAGGGATAGGGATAGAGATGAGGACACCCATATACATATGTAAAGAGAAGCTAGAGAAAGATGTGTCCACATCACGCACCTAAAGCTCGGAGATTGTATACTAAATGGTGAAACGAATTAATTTTATTTGTCTAATGACCTGTGCCCGAAGGTATCGCAGTCACACTCTATTAAATGAAGGCCGAGGACCCACCTAGTGCGACGGATCGGTTCTCCAGTCTTATGCCGACGCACAGCGTGCGAACGATGATGGCGTACACAAAGATCATGATGAGCAGAGGCAGCACCAGGAGCACCGAGTCCAAGTAGAGGTTGAAACCTTTCTCGGCTTCGTCGTTGGGCCACAGCTCGCGACACTTTTGATGTCCTGCGTAGTCGGCACAGTGCACATAACTGACCGTTACATAGTTACAGTTACAGGTATTGTTGAGGAAGTACATTGTGAAGAAGTCGCAAAGTGTCTCAATATTTAGATAACCATTAATAAACCTTTACATAACTGACTTTGAATCATTACAGTTGTAGCTACCGCTTATTAATTGGTTGAAGACGGGTAAGCGAAAGCTAATTCTGGGTCAATATTTAGATAATCATTCAACCTACATTTGCTTTTGAAGACTAATTGCAATTGTATTTCTCAGAGGTCAGGGTGGAAGCTAATGGTTAATTATATGTTTATGAGGCCTGTGAGACTATGGCCTTAAATTTGACGCAACAACAACAACAACAACAACAACAACAACAACAACAACAACAACAACAACAACAACAACAACAACAACAACAACAACAACAACAACAACAACAGGAAAAATTTTGCGTTGATAGCCCTACCATTGGCATTGAATGGACCCTTCGTTGCTACAATAGTTGCTGCCCTACAAAACTTGGTGGCTGATGACTACCGAGTTTAAGAGACCCGACCACCCAATAGATATGAAGATGACTGCGCAACGCCCTAGGGAAATGTACTATGCTGAAGATTATGAGATAAAGTTATGTACTTTCATTGCGGGACGTCCAAGTGAATAGACCGGCCTTGATTAGTGACGAGAAGCATCTTGTAATGATGCCACAATGCCAGGTAAATATCTAAGTATGTATTCCTAACTCTCCCCATGCTCACCAAAACCGCATAACGCATAAGATTCGAAACCATTAGAGAATTCTGTTCATTCTCATAGGAAAATGTAAACAGCACCGATCCCTAGGTGAAATAGGCAGTACGCCGTGCTACAGAGTGAACACATGTACTCGAGCGCATACGCAAGGTACAGGTAAACAATTCCACAGGAAACAAGAAGTTTCAAATTGACATTTTATGGACAAGTGTTCCGGATGTGTTAGGAATTATACAGTAAATCTGACAACTATGTCTGCAACGCTCTCTGGTTGCGCGCACAGCGCATACAAACCTCGCCTCAAAGTTGGTTGTTTGTCACTGCATATTTGCTTAGAAGACAGCGCCTTATGTCTTGGCCAGCTTTGTGAAGTCAGCATATATGATACTAATACGGGCAGATTGGCCGTCCGTGCTTCGTTATCTGAGGCTCACAGGCGCCTGCAATGTTTAGGCTAGAACGTGATCGCGTATACTGTTTGTTGCTGCCGTAAGCAAATTTCCCCTGTTTCTTTTTCCCTCAAACACTCTCTCCCCTGTCATATGTCGTATTATCACGTGTGTCAAGAGAGAATGAGGAAGAGGGGACTATTTCTTGAACAGCGGCTCATTATGAGTCTTAGCTAAGCCAACAGGCTTGGCTCATTACACACCTTATTCTTTACGTTTTCAATCTTTTTTGGGGCTATTCACTACAACGTCATTAATTCTTGTTCATTAAACAAACAAGTGGGAGCAATGTATTTACGCCGGTATGAGCCACATAAGTTGAAGAAAAAGAATAGAATACTTCTCGCATAACAATAAAGATTCTTTATAACTGCGTTGATCCTTTATATAAATAAATGATCTCTATGGAAAAGTGCATAATGAAATTCATGCCTGTAATTGTTCGCATTTCACAGTGTTCCAACGATAACCAAGAAGGCTTGATTGCACAGGTGCGCCGTAGTGTCAACTATTTTGTCTATAGTTCGAACATCGTGAATTCTTACCAAGTCGCTCAAGCTTCTATTCAAATACCTAACTAAACATGCAACGGGTAAAGTGCAGGCACTAACTGCTTAATTTCATTTGTCACAGCTGCAAAAAGTTGGGTCTTATACGTATAATATCAATTATTAGCTCGATTGTTTGGACGCAGGCACCTAGAACATCTCGGAGCTTGTCTTTGTGCTATGTAAAAAGAGCCCACGCCAGTGTTTGGTCTCTGTTCTCTTGGAAATGGTAGTACGGAATACTTTCTTTTTAGAAAAAAAAAAAACGAAGGCAGTGATTTCGAGTCGGAGCGCGTCGTTGTTTCACGAAGTTCAACGAATCAAAGCGATTTGGGCTGTTACAGACGCCGTAGTTGAGAAGCGCGGATGATTTCCACCACAAGGAGTCCTTCAGCGTGCACCTACACAGGATATCACACGGGCATCTAGCAATTCGCTTTCACAGAGACGAGAGCCCGGTGCTATCTTGAAGTGTTAGTATAACTAGATAAAGGAAACCTAATATTTGAAGACGAATGCCAACCAGACGTCAATAGAGCACAGCCTTATAGGCACGACTCACGCAGTATCAAACGGTATACCATCTGAAGGGCCCATGTTTTCCTCCTGAACTCGGGAATACAATTTCGACGCAGAAGATGAGCATTGCGCAAACCTCGCGGTTCGAGGGGCTTTCAAAACTGGGCAGAAAAGAGCATCTGCAAAGCGACGTAACGTTGCTCCAAGTAAAGGTCAGAAGCTCGCTTAGAGCTCAAAAAGAAAAGCGTTGCTTGATAGTTGTTTGGAAGCTGCGTAAGATGACACTGTCAGACAAAGTAAGCCAAGTTTTCAGAAAATAAAATGAAGAAAGAGAGTAAAAGTAATATAAAAATCAATAATTAAATAAAAAGCGATAATATATAAATAAATAAAAATTGATAAATAAATGAAATAAAAAAGAAAAAGAAGTACCAGACAACTCCCTCAAGATAGTTCCTCTGTACGAAATAGTTGACAGAGAAACACACATTGATAAAAAGCGAAGTAATGTGGGTACGGCACTGTACACTGCATGCTGAAATGTAGTGTTGAGGGAGACGTGCTGCGGATGAAGGAAGTTTGCATATTGCACACCAGACTTGCACAACTCGTACCATTCTAGCGAAGCAGATGATACAGGCATCAAAATGAATTTGGTAGAAGTGAGACATCGCATAACGTTTGCTGGAGCGCTATAGTCAGGAATGTGTTTTTTTTATAGTAATGTCTAGTGTCTTTCATGCCAGTCGCAATATGATTATTAGGCACTTCTTAGAGGTAAAAAAATTCGGCAGAGCCCGCGTAAGTGGGAATCGGCGTTATGCGAAGCATGCGGAGGGAAGGTGACCCAGTTGTAGTTGCTTTTTTATTAAGTAACACGTCATGACATGACGCTGAGTATATGTACAAATGTGGCACGCACAGACGTATGTTCAAGAGTTGCAGATGTTTATATAACCAGTTGTTTGCACATGCGCAACGATGCCAACTGGAACATGCGTATTAGCAACACCAGAAGCTGACATGAAGTGCTGATGCTGGCGAAGATGCTGGCCCTGGACAGTGCTACATAAATCAACTTCAGCGCATGGCAACTAACCACAATTGATCTTAACCCGACGTGACGGCTGTATCAAAGGAGTGCATATGTAGATTTTATAAAATTAGGTGAGCAGCACTGCAACCACTATTGACATTTTCGCGAAGATTAGTGTCCATTTGAGGAGTAATTCCGAGGGCTGGCGTAGCTTTGTGGTGGAATGCCCGACTTCCACGCAGAATGGTTGGGTTCGATTTCTGCTGGGACCCTGATATTCATTATTTGAATTCATTGGGGGGCCAACACTGCCTATATCAGGTTTTTTTCTAAAACTGACCTTTAATCTATGCCATCGTTGGGTCGACGCTACCAATGTCGGGTATTTCACACACAACACACACCCACACACACACACACACACACACACACACACACGCACACACCACACACACACACACGCGGACGGACGGACGGACGGCCAGACGGACAAACAGACGGACGGACAGACAGTCAGGCAGGCAGGACAGACATATAGATAGATAGATAGATAGATAGATAGATATATTGATAGATAGATAGATAGATAGATAGATAGATAGATAGATAGATAGATAGATAGATAGATAGATAGATAGAAGGTGCTAAAGTACCTGTCGTTCGCTAAGAAATGGATCGCATTTAAAGAAAGAGGTTGTCTGGTTTGCTCTAAGCACTGTGTGGATTTTTTTTTGCTTTTTTATTCTTCTCTTGTGCGTGTATGTGTGTGTATCAGCAGTACTAACAACACTAAAAGTAATTAATTCCTTTGTACAATACGGCAGATGAAGAGACAACTGAAAAGTTTTCAGAGGATGAGGCTTTCAGACTCCTAGAAGCACACAAAGTTAAGCGCAGCACTGACTTGATGAGGACACGACAGGGAGAACGCACAGAACTCCCAGTTCCGACCTCATCAATTTCGTGCCGCGCTTAACATTATGAACATGTTACGCCAAGTAGGCCCACACTGCACCCTTGCTAAGTTCGTTCCTAGAAGTACATCGTGTTGAGAAGCACAAAGCGCGAAACGTTGATGTCCACTATCGGCGTGCTTGTCCAGTATAGTTGTGCAAGTGTTGTCGTCAACGCCTCGTCGTTCAATGCTGCCTAGAGGGTTCCTTCATTGTCAACGAGGGCCAGTCCAAAAAGCAAGTGGCACGCGTCGTGCAATCTTCGAGACGCTTGCCGTTTCGTTGGTCAATCTTGGTGACAGCGGCGCCTTCGTTGACGCAGACTGTAAAAGCCCAATGTGTAAAGTAAGACGCACCATCTCATCGACTTTTCGACGTATAGACGAGGATTCGGGAGTTTGCGCTAATGTGAAAATAACGTTTATTTTTCTGTTGTTGTCTGCGTACGTGATACAAGTGCTGAGCTTTAAATTAGCTTTGCTGTCGAGTTAGCCTTTTACGCAATTCGATAGGCCCCTTGTGTAGTTTCTGTAAAAGAAGGCGATGGAAGAGTACGCACACATCTAAGGCTTGTGCGCGCACGCATATTTCTCGCCACCCCACACAAACATAACGTTATTCCAAAGGAGGTTAATAACTAGCTTTAGCTTCAATGGATGTCAACATATTTGCGTCGCTCGTCCTCTAGCGGTACTCAACAGCCAGAAAAAAAAGAAACAACAAAAATATTGTGACATTTGTGAATACTTGTTGAACAATTGAAAGCGAAATGCTTACAATATGCGACACCTCCTTACGCGCGTGTCATGTCATTACTCATACATTTCAGATGGTTTAACTTTGTTTTTAATATAGTTGCGAAAATCTGCGAAATTTCTAACGGCTCTTGCTTAGCTAGCTGGCTAGGTCGCGGGATCAAATCCCGGCTGTGGCAGCTGCTTTTCAGATGGAGGCTGAAATGTTGTAGGCCCGTGTGCTCAGATTTGGGTGCAAAGAACCCAGGTGGTCGAACTTTCCGTAGCCCTCCACTACGGCGTCTCTCCTAATCATATGGTGGTTTTGGGACGTTAAACCCCACATATCAATCAAATCAATTAGCTAGCTGGCTGCCTCAAAAATAGAGGGAACGCGATAGCATAATTTGTCTTGGAATGATCACGGATATCAGTGCGTGACCCCGAACTCTCTACCCGAAATGCGCCTGCGCGAAGGTGAGAGCGCAATGACACGGCGCAACACTGAGGTCGTTACGAAAGCCGTTTGTCTTCGCCCGGTCGATACACGAAGGGAAGCACCCTTCTTCGTCTGCCACCAGCGAAATGGCGTCTCTAAATCGCTGCCGTAATCGCCCTTGGCGGAGTTTCTATGCTATACGCTGCACTACTTATATAAGAAGGCACACCGATTTGTCATCAAGGACTGCCGGAGGAAAAGGGTATGCCGCGAAATGAGCTGTTCTGAATTTTTTTTTTATGACCAGAGGAAACAACGTTGCCGGAAAGTCGTGTTCTGTCCGACTTTTCGAAACGGGTAATTATAGTCGAGCCATCTTTTATTCCTCCGTGACATGAGCTCATTCTGCGGTTTTCAAAGATCGTGTGCCTATTGGACCTTTAATGAACGAGGTAATAAATAGGCACACAGACAGGGTGGCTAGGCGTTTCTTACGATGGTCTGTCCTGTGCTAGGAAAATGAGTAAGGAGAATGAAAGAAAGATAGAAAAAATGTCTCACACAGAAAAAAAGAAGAGCGAATGAAAATGAAAAAAAGGAAAGCATGAGCGAATGAAAATGAAAAAAAAAGGAAAGCATAATACCGTGGTGCTCAATCGCTGGTTATGAGATGCTACAAACTGCAGAAAGGTGTAACAGAGAAAAGAACAAAAAAAACGACAAGAAGAAAAGGACAGGCGATTATGAGAGTGATTGACTCTGAAAGAAGGAATTATTAAAAAAGAAAGTCAGAAGTCAGTTTCGGCCCAAGTTCATAGCAATGGATGCGATAGCAGCATTGCTATGATAGATAGATAGAGGCTAGAAAATTTATGAAACATGCGAAGTGTAGTGAGCATGGCCGATTGTGCTTGAATTGACGGTAATGCAGTAACCATAATATCGAAACAGGTGTTGTTGTCAATAGTTGGCTGCGGGACGCCCGACAGGAGGCGAAGCCCAAGTTTGACATCGAGAAATGTGACAGGCCGCTGGTTCTCACGTAGAAGCGCATTACCATCGAAGTCTTCAGTGACTATAACCGGTCCATCTCACTGTCGCGACGAGGAAGCCACGCGACTTTCTAACGGCGCTAGCGTCAACACCACTCCTCTGGTGCAGTGAGTCGAGAGATTGACACGGATCGAAAAGGTGATATTTTAGATTTGATTGCCCATTTTATATTTTGTGCACATACCACCCAGTAGGCTGAAAGTGTACCTCGTTTTTTTTATTATCTGCATAGTATAAGAGAAAAATCATTCAATTTATTTTGTACAGACGGACCAATTTCGTCTCTTGTCATTTTCGAAAGTTAACGACAATATGAAAACACAAATATTACCTTGATGAAGATGATTTTTTCCCTAACAAATGCACGCGTAACGAAGAGTGGAGCAGCATTGTTTGAAACTTTTATGCTGAAGCAAATTGTTTTGGAAAAAATATCTGAACAGGTGACATTTTTAAAAGTTGCTGGATTTGATATTTTTTTCCTCCTAAGCTGAGCAAGCTAGTGTTTTATAACTTGGTAACATGTTACAACGTATTTTTTACAACAGTGCCTGTCAATACCGTGGCTGTACTTCAGACACATAGTTTTATACATGGCTTCAAACTTTTGAATACGTCGACAGTAAAGCCTATTGAAAAACCAATATTAAAAAAAAAAACCCATCTTCAATTTTTCTTAAAATCTCGTAAAGTGTTCCTCACAGACGATAGAAAAAGAATATTAAAAAATATAGCATTATTTCATTTGCAGTGAAAATACTGCGAGTGGAAAATCTACCTTTTCGAGCATGTATTTTGGCAATAAACGCATGAGTAATCTGGTTAAAATGTGGTATTGAGCTTCTGAGTCATTTGAAGAAAACCATACTTACAGAGGAGAAGAGGATTAGCACACTGAGGAATAAATTAAAAGCTCTCTTATAAATTTTGTTTAATTTCGTTGGTGTTGGTTTTAGTCTGAAGGTAACACATTATTGATGCATAATCTAGACTAGGAATTAATTTGAATGCAATAAGGCGAACGACGGGAGTGGAAAGTTTGTAAGCTCGTTTAAGATAAAAGAGTTTGTAATTGCATGAGCTTGTTACAGTTTTTATATGTCTCGTTCAGTTTAGGTCATGTGAAATTCAAAGACCAACGTACTTGTAGTGTTGCTCCTCCTCCAAGAAAAGACTATTCGCTGAATATGTGAAATGAAGAGGGTTATGTTTGTGAGAAAGTTTCATAAATGTTTTTTTAAATTAACCAACATCTGCCATTGATGGCACCAACGAATGACCGTATGAAATGCGTCATTCAAGTGAGTTTGGGCTGTCTGGCTTTATATCTCTGTGAACGGGATGCAGTCATCAGCATGTAACTTGACATTTACCAGTATACCATGTGAAATATTGTTGATAAATAACGAAAATAGGAGTGACCAGAGCACTGAGCTTTGGTGGACACCTGAATCAACCCGTACTGTACGGGAACAATGATCGTTGAAGAATAAGTTATGCCCTGCCACGGTGGTCTAGTGGCTAAGGTACTCACCTGCTGACCTGCTGATTGAGTCTCGGCTGCGCCTGCGGCATTTTCTATAGAGGCGAAAATGCTGTAAGCCCGTGTGCTCAGGTTCGGGTGCACGTTAAAGAACCCCAGGCGGTCGAAATTTCCGGAGCCTTCCACTACGGCGTCTCTCATAAATATAAGGTGGTTTTTCGAGGTTAAACCCCACATATCAAAAAGAAGTACTGTTTTCGATTTGAAAGATAAGCGGAAATCTAATGTAGAAGGTAAGTATTTAAAGAAATAAATCCCATTTGAACAGCAACTTAAGCGAGAGACCATATCAACAACTTTTGCAAAATCCGAAAAAATTGAATCTACTCGTCGGCGGAAAATAGACGGGTTGAATTGGGCATATTGTACACAATATCAGCCATTGCTATGTTCTTGCATCGAAACTTCCTGTCTTCTTCATCCTCAGGTACACCTGGCTACGTATCAACCGTCCAGGAGATGGCGATCCAGTCAACACCTGCTCTCAAGAAGCTTAACCTAACCTGGTCAGTAACACAAGCAAAGTCTTTTTGATTCGTTTGGCATATTTAATGTATTGAGTAATTATCATACAGTACTTGTGTCATTAAACGTTAAAATCATGTGCACACCAAAAATAAATTATAAATATTAGCAAGCGTGGCCTTTCGCCCTCTCCTCCTCCATTTTTAATATTGCATATCTTTAGTATATTCACCTTCAAATTGCCGTTTCTTGAACTTTCGTGGAACTGTCTTCTGTTACTAACGAAGGAATTACACAATGATGCAATGCAAATAAGGAAAAGATTATTTGTATTGAAGTGCAATAACTATGAGATAAAGAAAATGTTAAAGCAGACGAAAAAAAAAACATTTGGAGAAGTGAAGGGTTCCAGCACGCTACCACGCGAGCACGAGCGCAGGACTTCATAACGCGATCTTTCACCTAGTCATCATGTACCAACTGACCCGGAAAACATACTGCTCGTGAGAGAAAAAACCGACTCAGTGCTGGTGGAAACCGAAGTTTTTGCAGGTATCCACTGACGACGAGTGTTTTGTTCGTCTACGTAACCACCCTGCAGAATTTATACACTCACCTGCCGTCCTGGTTGGTATGAGCTGGCTGAGAACAGCGATCGGGGCCACGTGAACGAGCGAGAGCACCCAGATGACGGCGATGACGCGGTACGCATGCGACACTGTCTGCCAGCGCCGGGACTGCAGTGGTCGCACGATGGCGAAGAAGCGCTCCATCGAGATGGACACCAGCGTCCACACCGACACCGATACGGACACCGCTGACGAGGACATGCAAAAAAGGCGAATCAATCAATCAATCAATCAATCAATCAATCAATCAATCAATCAATCAATCAATCAATCAATCAATCAATCAATCAATCAAATCAATCAATAAATTAATCAACCGTGTAATCCATCCATCAAGCTATCTTCTATGTGCTTCATTATGAATTGAACATGAAAGTGCGTGGTGCCGCTCAAGTAAGAGCTGTTCAATAGTATACTTTACAGGTGTATGCGTACTATACTACTTAGAAGGTGGTGCTGTGTTGGTTACATACAGGTGTAGGCATGTAAACACTGCATACATTTTCGTTTACACTGCAACACCATCAGCTTGCAATACCTTAAACCTTAGGTAGAAATATCAGAAAGGTCGTGTGGCAACCACAAAGTTGTGTCCTGACGATCCCCGCTGGTTACCAACCAGCCACTAAGCTCATAGTATTTCGCGCAAAATATCACCATTAGAGCTGTTTAAGCTCACTGGTAAAAGTATGACGATAGTTATAGCGCGAAAACAGAGCGACGACAAAGAGACAATAAGGACACGTCCTTCGCGTCCTACTTGTCTCTTTGTCGTCGTTTTGTTCTCGCGCTGTAACTATCGTCATGACATACCAACTAGCCCAAGCTGCCACACTTCTAAGGTAAAAGGATGTTGTGCGTCACTGAATCAGAAAATTTCCTCGCCTCGCTGCGAAATTGCTGTGCGTTGCCATAACAACAGGGTGCAGCAAGTGTGACGTCACGTACAGCCGCCGCCCCCTATAGGTCCGCCTATAGTGATTTAATACTCGCGCTTGCTCTCGCCCGTGACGTCACAACGCACCACGGTGCTTTCTTGGTTGTAACAGCTCGTGTCACCACGCCGAAACAAACAAACAAACAAACAAAAAAACAAGCGCGAGCAAGGTTCTGTGCGCTTAGTTGGCGGTGGGAGAGGGTGGTGGTAAAACTTTACTCACAATTGCAGCCTGACTCGTTTATAAGCTTCCAGTTCTGATGGATGACACTGCGCCTTATCGTCAAAATATGAAGTACTTTTTATTTCCTCCACCTACCACTGTTCTGCCATGTCTTGCACGTGTCAGAAACGTATTACCCGACTATGCTGCCCATACTTCTATATTTTATTCTTACTAATTTTGCCGTTATCTTCCCATCAGATTCTTTTAGAGAATAAGTTCCCTTTTTGAGGAAAAAAAGGGCTACTACAATTTTGCAAGCGTTTCGGAACATTCAACACGTGTTCTCTTCTGAATGTCTAATAAGTCTGCTTTAGGCATATGAAACACCTGGCGATTTCCCTGGAAGTTCATGGGAAAAGTTGAAAAAAAAAAGCGTTCGGTTTTTGTGGTGCTCTGTTTTCAGATTTCAATATAACGTCGCAGTGAAGAACACGAATGCACCGGCGAACATTGTTGTAGGCGTCGCTGAAAAAGCTTAACAAGGATGGCAACGAAGCAATACGTAGTCCTAACAGCAAGCAATGATGATGGCAGGAGAAATACGAGACAGCGCACGGTGCGTCCCATTTCTTTTCTATTTAGGAGTGCTTTTCTGCTCAATGTCTTTCTTGACAAGGGCAATAAACTAGCTCAAGCAAGAAACTATCACAAGTATGAACAGTGATTAGGCGTTAGGGAAGAAGATAAGAAGCGTTTCAGAAGCTCAAAGCTCTCGTGGTTTCCCTATGGAATCGTGGAAGTAGCAGCTTACAACTGGTGTAAACGTAGGTGGGGGGGGGGGGGGACTCAACACGCCCTTCCTCTCTGAAAAACTTCTCGCTACGCTACTGAGACACTCGACCCTAATGAAAATCAACAACTAAGTTCAGCCGAAGAAAATATAGAGATCGTTTTATTTTGAGTTTTATTGTATTGTAGTAAGTAAAATATTTACTCTTGAGTTTCTCACCATTTTTATTATAATTACTATAAAAAGTTGAGTAGTACAGATAGGGTCCCCCTGTACTTTCCTTGCCTTTATTTGTCGATCGCCGTTCATAGAAATGTGTCAAAGAAACAAAACAAACACCCTTGCATTTCTCGTAATGAAATTTTTGGACGTATTTGAAGAAACAAAAACCGATGGCACAAATAAACCTCAGAAGAAAGTGCTCTGCAAGTGAGTTTTACTTTATTTTACTTTATAAGGCCTCACTGTGTCTTTGTTTTCTTCGAGCGTGCCCAAAAGTACAGTATGCTATTCACCAGCCCAAGTTACCGCACTCTTGCATTCGCTGTCTTTCGTTCAGCTTACGCTTTGTGATATCTGCCTATCGCCCTGGATTAAGGACGCCACCGGATGTTTATGCTCTGCACCACTGACAAACACTCAAGTCGCGCTTCAACAGTGCATGCATTGCTCGTTTTACTTCTTTCTGTTGCCGTAGTTCACCCTGCACAAACAGTAAGTCAAAGCAAGGCATTTCGTAGGTGCAGCTGCTGTTGGAACAAGTATGCGTGGTTCTCGTAGTTTTATAACGCTACCAGCGTGACTCGTACCCGCCGAGGATCATTTGCGAACGTGGCTCCGCCCATCGCGTGTGTGCGCCTAAAAGGCCGCCATCTGTCAATCTCGTTGATTACGCGAACCATCCCTATCTTGGCCCGCACATTTTGGGCGTGTCTGCACCGGCTTGATGCTACCTTTTCACTGCGTATGCTCTTCCGTCAGTCTGTTGTGAAAACCTTTAAAAGTTACCGTAAAGCCCCAAACCAAACTTTGAATTTCGACTAAAAATAAACGCCCATTCTCGGAAAACGTTTTTTTTCCCTTAAATTATGCTCCCTACCCTACACCACACCGATTCTTCACCTCCTTCTCTCCTCATCAACAAGGGACGTTGCCATTTGTTTTTTTTTTGGAAAGGAGGGGAGAGAGGGTTTGAACAACTATTAGTGTATGTTCATGCGTGTGTCTGTACCTTTGCATGTATATATACGTATGCAAAATTGAGAAATTTTGGGGAAAGGGGAAGTGTATGACCTCCCGCCTCCCCAGCCCGCATTTGTCCCTAACGCTCCTGTGTCTTGCGCTTTGATCTCGAGCGAGCCAGAGGGCACCGCCTTTACCATACTACCATTATTTGCCTCGTGCAATAAGAGAACACTACCATCATTCTTCATTTATGATCTAAGTGGCCTTCATCCGATAATGCATGACGGATCAGCTGGTGAACTCATCCAAGTTATTGTAACAAATGTCCCAGCCTCACAACAAGGATGTTCTATTTACACTGTTTATCAAGGGGCGAACTTGTGCTCAAAGTGAACGACGCTCAGCAATCAAGAAGATCCGAAGGTCGGTAGTCCTCATGAGCCCCTGCCTAGAGCACCCTCGTTCTCTTCTTCTTCACGCGCGTTGACTGTTCGGTGGAGTCCCGCGCGCATGCAGGGCCGGCTCGTGCATTGCAACTGGCTTCATCGCTCGTAGTTGTGCCGCCAGCGTTTCTCTTCGTTCACGACGCCCGCGTTGTGCGGAGCATCAGCAATTTCCCGCGGCATTATAATAAGTGATCAATTGTGACAGACAATGCACAGCTTCATAACGGAACGCTAGAAGGAATTTTGGCGCTAGTGTCTATGGGATCTGTAAGGCATGACGCCGAAGTCAGCATGGGAATGATGGGTGTTGCGTAAATTTGTCTAAGCTTCGTTCCTTCGGCTATGTGTGGCTTCTTCTTGACTGTAGCCTCTGTGATGCAAGGCTAAGCAGGTGAAAGAAGTTCAGCACTACCACTTCACGACTCTAAACTTTTTAGGCTCACAAGTTTGAATGAGCTAACAAGGTTCTCAATGAACCGTGAACAAACGCCAAAACAGAACAGCAAACAAAGCAACAAGTGCGGTCGAAGCCGCATCCACGAAAACTAGACAAATCAATCCACTACCTACCTTTCTCATTATAGCTGCGCAGTCGTATCTGCAAGTTTCATCGCCTATAGGGGGCGCACAAGGTGGTTCAATATGGCGCCCACAGAGAGTATCGGTTAAGGTTGGAGTCGCCGAGCACATATGCGGCCTGCACTGTTTCATTTTTTTTTTTGCTTTGCGATGGCTTTAGCCTTTTTGCAGTCGCATATTATGCGTGACTAAGACGCTTCAGAAACTCGGATACAATGCCTCGAAAAGGTCCTGAATTCCAAACACATTTCTTGTGGCGTGAAAGTCCGTAGCCGATATTTTTGACGCATTTTAGGGGCGAAGCTCCTTAAAGTGGCACCCGTTCGTACCTCGTCGTAGTACGTAACATGTCTTACGCTCTGACCTGCAAGGTGATGCCGGTGGGAGATTTCTTTTGGGCGTTGTTGAAAAATAAAAAAATTCGCAGCGTGCTCGTTAACTAAGAGCCGAATTCTCCTGTCTCTCATTCCCCATTAGCAGCCATTGGCATGTACACTAAGCACTATCTCACAAGAAAGGGTTGCAACGTTATACTCGCTGGGCATAACCTCCTTGCTTTTAGAAATGTTTAGTGAGCGTTGGGCCGCAGTGCCATGAATACAGCGAACTAGTATATACGATGAACTCAAGGTGGTTAAAGGTGGGAAGAAGACACGAAGCACAAGCCGTAAGAAAGTGTGCGTGTGCCTCCTCTCGTTCAGTCCTTGGAATGTCCGCTGGATGGCGGTGCTTCTATATGAGGAATATATGATGAAAAGATGCGAGATGGTGGTATTTGGAGTGTTGAATTGGTGAACGAACGTACACACAGACAGATGGATGTACGGACGCACGGATGGCTGCACGGACGGACAGACGCATGGGTGGACGCAGGAGCAGATGCATGGACGAAAGCAGGGACGGACGCACAGATGAACGTGCGGACGCATTAACAGACGCTTCGTGTCTACTTCCCACCTTTAAACACCTCGAGTTCATGGTATATACTAGTTCACTGTATTCAAGGCACTGCGGCCCAACGCTCGCTAAACCTTTCTAAAACCTAGGAGGTTACGCCCAGCGAGTATAACGTAGTAACCCTTTCT